ACAATTTGAATGTAGGCCCCTCTTGATCTTGAGGCCCTAGGCTGAAGCCTAGTTAGCCTATAGGAAAATCCAGCCCTGTCCAGAGGCCAGATCCAGCTCACAGGGTACTTAGATCTGGCCTACAGAGCCGCCCTGGAAACAGTGAAGGACTGGGCCTTGGTGCTTCTGCTAGCAAAAACGGGCTCCCAAGCTCCTTTTTCAGCTGCCACAAAAACGTTGCTGCTCCGTTCACTGGCAGAGGGTTGCAGGAGGCCGTGGCAGCCGAAAACTGAGCTTGGAAGCCTGTTTTCACTGGCAGAGTGCTCGGGCTACCTCAGGCACTCCCAACAGGAGTGACATTGAGTTGGCCATGCCCACTCTGACCCCTCCAGCCCTCTCCCCCAAGGTAAAACACAACCCGGATACGGCCCTCAATGAAATTGAGTTTGACAGCCCTACTCTAATGATTCCTAATGATAGCTTTGGCCTTGCAGGAATGTTAAAAACAAGAGAAGATAATGGACAAGTGTCTACCCTGTATTGGACTTCAATATCCACAATCTACAAATACCACAAGAAGGAGGAGAATTGAAGTTTAACACAGTTGTCAGGCTACATCTTGTAGAACATTATCCTAATAGATTTTAATACCTAGCTCAACACAGGCAAAGGTATCCAGCCTATAGTACATAATTCCAAAGCAACAGTGGCTCCTTAATTCAGCCTTCTCCAAACTGGGTGCTCTCTGAATGCATGGACTTTCCAGAATTCATCATCTAGGATGGCTGTTGCTAAGAATTCTGGAATTTGAAGTCCACACATCTGGAGCAGAGGTGGTATTCAGCAGGTTCTGACCAGTTCTGGAGAACTGGTAGTGGAAATTTTGAGTAGTTTGGAGAACCGATAAATACCAACTCTGACTGGCCCCAACCCCATCTATTCTCTGCCTCCCGAGTCCACTAAGCCATGTCCACAGAACCGGTAGTAAAATTTTTGAATCTCACCACTGATCTGGAGTACATGTAAGTGGAGGACAAGTGTCTCAAAACTTAGCTCCTGAAATCCTTTTTCTCAAAATAATATTTGTAGTAATGTTAGTCAATTACTACATGCTATGATGTGGTAGTAATTTATAGTAATGTTAGATACTTTATCCCCTAAACATGTAATTTACAAAAAAAAAGTTTGTGTAAATAGTTTTACACAATCTTATCCACTTATATCTGCAGATGTCATTGAATTATAACTCCCATCATCCTCACTGCTATGGGAAGGGAGGTGAGAGTGTTGATCTAGAGCTGTGAAGGTGAACCTATGGCATGAATACCAGAGGTGGCATGCAGAGCCCTCTCTGTGCCCCAACTCAGCCAGCTGGTCATTGGGTTTCCGATGCGTGCATGAGTGCCGGACAGCTGTTCATCTGATTTCCGATGTGCAAATGCATGGCGGCCAGCTGTTCGTCTGGTTTCAGAGGCACACATGAGTGCCAGCCAGCTGTTTGTCTGGTTTCGGATGTGCGAATGCATGCCAGCCAGCTGT